GGGGGCGGGGCTGCGGGGAGGGCGGGGCCCGAAGTTGCTCCTTGCTGGCAGCGGGCGGCGGGCGGCGCGGGGCCGGCGGGCTGACGGAGCCGGCACTGGGAAGTTTGCGCTGCGGCTGAGAGCCAGGGTGCGGGCCCCGCCGGCCTTGCGCGCCCGCTGCCATGGCTTTCCGCAGGAGGACGAAAAGTTACCCGCTTTTCAGCCAGGAGTTCGTCATCCACAACCACGCGGACATCGGCTTCTGCCTGGTGCTGTGCGTCCTCATCGGGCTCATGTTCGAGGTGAGCGGCGACGCGGTGCGCGCCCCCGCGGGTCCCCTGGCCTCGGCCCAGCGCGGCGGCGGGGTCCCTGCACGCTGTCTGCGCGCCCGGCCCTGCGCGGTGGCCCCCGGCCAGTGCTCGGGTCAGCCGGCCCGCGGCGCTGTGACCCGTCGCCCTCGGGCACCCAGCCCCTCGGCAGCCCTGTGTCCCGGCCGGGCCCCACCGGCCGCTGCTCTGCGCCCCTGCCCGCCGCGTGGGACTTCCTCTCTGGCGGCCGGGACTCGGGACTCTGGTCCATGTGCAGTCTCCTCTCCCCGGAGGGGCACCCGCTCTTCGAGCCCTTCCCAGGCGGGACCCCGGCCCTTGCCCTCTGACTAGCATCTTCGCCGCCTAGGACATGCTGCAGGTATTCACGCGTGGCCCTGGCCCTGGCCCAGCCTGGCCTTCCGTCGGCCTCCTTCATCATGGCCTAAAGGCCAGTTTTGAGAGACTCTTTGTCACACTGTGGACCGTCTGATCAGAGTCGAACAGGAGGACTGGGACTGTTCACTGTAGCCCCGGGTCGGGTCGGAGGGCAGGATCCCCTCGGACTGCAGTGTAGGCCGCCTCGCGGGACTTCTGGTAGACCAGGGTCAGAGTCTTGGGGGACCGGTGAGAAGGAGTCCGCGCGCCTGCAGAGTGCGTGCTACTCAGAAGTTGAGGGGACTGCCGGAAACTGGGGACAGGATTGAGGCGTCTGTGCCTGTCTTGTCTCAGAGTGGGATTGTAAATGGCTCTTCCCTGGTCTCCTAGGCTCCTGGCCTTCCATTGGTTAGGTTGTTTTCTGGATGAATGAGGAAGCTGTCACTATTTGCAAACTGCTGCAGAGATGGGGGACTCCAGTGGAGCTCGTTTTTCCTTCTGTGACCCTCTGTCACCAAGCTGCCCTCAGGTGGGAACATTCCTGTGTCCAGGTCAGGGTTGGATGTGCGCCTGTGGGCTTACCTAGGCTTCAGGGTGTGGAGAAACCGTCCTCACTGCTTTGCTGGTGCCCCTTCAAGTCTGTGCTCCTGCTCTCATCCTGGCTGTCCTGTCCCGTATGGGTCAGGGCTGTGTCCCACTCTGGTGCTACTAGTCTGCCTGAAAATGGACTGCAGCAGCCTCAGTTCCCCGGTGGCTGAAAACATCGGTAGAATGCCTTTTCCTCGTAGAAGGTTTCGTGGCCATCATGCCAGCCAGGGGTCCTGTTTCCTACCGCTGAGCCAGTTGCCTGCTCCTCCAAGCCCATATGCTATGATCACCATAGTAGTGTAAATGAAATAACCAAGGATTTGTGCTGCCCAGCTAGTAGTCTGCTGTCTGTTTGCTGTCCTCCGTTCTAAGAGGCCCCCAGAACCGTGTCCCCAGGCCTGGAGGATGTGACTGGACATAGGTCAGCCTGGAAGCTGTGCCTGCTGGCTCTGGGCTGATCATGTCTCTTACATCACCAGGGATGTGGCTTGTTTTTGGTGTCTGTCAAGGTATCTGTTGCTGTTTTGTCTCTGTGCACAGAAAAGGCTGCCTAGCGTTTGAGTTTTGTACCTCCTTTCCTGCCCGACTCTGGTCTTAATGCAAAGTCCTGTGTGTTAAACCTGCCAATCTGTGGAAGCTGAAGGGTGCTAGGCCTTATTCTATCCAGTACTGATGGATGAGAGAGGCCCATGGTGAGCAAAAACAAACACAGCTGCCCCCGCCCCCCAGATGGACTGGGCATTGTGAAGAGGGCATCTGTCCCTGCTTCTCTTTCTGTAGCACCTTAGACATACAGAGTGTAGGATCGTCAGCCTGCACTGGTCCAGAAAAAGAAGGCTTTGCCTCGAACCTCCCGTGTGAAGGGTTTGTGTTCTGTGTGGCACATGGTAGGTTTTCACTGTCTGTTCCCATCACTGAAGGACTCTGCAGAGATAGGGTGTGTGTGTGTGTGTGTGTGTGTGTGTGTGTGTGTACACTCAGATTGGAACTCTGCGGGTCCTAGCAGATGAGCAGAACTGGGTGACATGTGGCACACCTGTAATCCCAGTACTTGGGAGGCTGAGGCAGGAGAATCCTTGAGTTTAAGGCAAACCTGAGCTGCACAGTAAGTTCACAGCCAGCTTGATCATTTTAGTGAGACCCTAAAATGAAACAAAACAAACAAGCAGAAGCATCTCAGGATCCAGGGTGAACATCTCCACTTCATCTTCAGTGAAGCAGGGCTGGTAAGAGAGTGTGGCGGTGTCTGAAAACCTCGCACAGGGCCTCCCGCCTTCTCCCCTGGCGTGTTTAGGGTGTGCACACACAGCTCTAGTGTTGTATATGGCAAGGAGGGATCAGTCCAGAATGTGACACAGCTTTTCCTTGAAGTGAGGCCAGAAGGAGGGGTGGGGGTGGGGAGGAGGAAGAAGGCTGGGGCTAGTGGGCTCCTGGCCTTCTGTGTTAAGCTGGGCACAGTTTCTTCATCCAGAAGCTGAGTGGGAAGAACTCCATTATGATGCTTCCCACCAAGAATGGTCCCCTCTGCTTTTGGGGTCCCTGCCCAGCTTCTGCCGATGAGCTGGGCCCCATGCCCCCCCAAGCCCCATACACACTGGGCTGTCCCAGCCCTTCACGTCCATCTCAGCCCTGCCTTACTTATGTCCTCAGCAGTGTCCAGAGGCCCTCAGTTCCTTGGAATCCTAGGACTTCAGCTCTGGCTCTTCAGGCAGAGGTTGGGTGCAAGCGAGTTCCTTCCCTCGGGATCACGGCCTTCTGGGAACGCTCAGCTCCCCAATTCCATGCACGCACGCGCATTCGCAGGCACAGAGGCACGCGCTTCTGCTTAAGTTTTGGGTCATCCTGTTTCCAAGGCCAGATTCTCCTGCTGAACCCAGGTTTTCTCCATTCTGCAGGCTGTTTGGAATAGAGCAGTTCTGTGTAGCCACAGCACTTGGCTAAAAAAATGTCAGGAATGTGGAACTTTATTTTCCCCCTCCTTCCTTTCCAGCTTTCTCTTTCTTAAACTCTGCCTTTGGAGAAGTGGTACTCAGGCAGTGTTTTTCTTCCACATTTCAGTCCGTTAGCCGTCTCAGCCTGGGCGGTGGGCACCACAGGGCTCCGGTGCCCTATTGGTTGTATGTGAAGAGTTCAAAAGCAGCGTCCCCTCCCCTTTTCCTTCCAGTGTCCTGTCCCTGTGCCACGTTTCCAGCCGCAACCCTTGGGAGAAGAGGAAAGCCCTGTGGGCGGACACACAGGAGGAAAGGGGGGTGCGGGAAGAGAGGAAGCAATCTATATGCTGCCTTTAAAGTGTCACTGCAAGACGGAGCTGTTTTTTTCTCTGCTTCTGCAGCTGCAGGGAAACGTTACTGAAATTCTGAGGCTGTCATTTGCAGGTTTGGTTTCTGTTAGGACTGGGATGCCTTTACGGTTTAGCAACTAGGGCAGCTTTTGGGTGGTGGCCAGTTGTTGCTTTTGCGTCGTTTGGGGGCAGGTGTGGCAGTCTGCCCTTTCTCAGGATTACTCATCAGGTGAAATGGGTACAGCCGTCCAGTGGGAGCCCCTGGCGTGCACTGCAGCCTCCCGCGTGTGGGGTCTGTGGCCTGGCTCGGAAGCTGCGGCGTGGATCTGTGTGTCCCGAGGCGCGGCGCCCGGGCCTGGCTCTTCGTGGGAGCATCCTGTACTGATTCTGCTCCTCTTTCCTGAGAAGTGTGTAAGTGGCACCGACACATGTCTTTGGGCACAGGTTGTCTTTCCTTGTCTAGCTGCTGATGCACATTTGAAGAAATTTTTTTTATTAATTAATTTTTGGGGACAGTTTAGTTATACATAATGATAATATTCATCATAGGAAATTTGTAAATTTGTACTTGTACATGATCCATCTCGCTTCTTTTCCATTCCCCATCCCTCCTTCAGCCCCTCTTTTGCTTTTTAAGTTTGCTCGTATATTTTAGGTTTACATAATGATCACATTCCATTCATTAGAGGGCATTTGTATCTGTACATACTATACCTTTTTTTTGGCTTTTTGAGAAGGGTTTCACGTGTACTTCAGGCTAGCCTTAACCTCACAGTGATCCTCCTGCCTCAGCCTCTAGGGCTGGGATTACAGATGTGTGTGCTCCACCGTGCCCTGCCTATACCTTGATTTATTTTTCCCATTCCACTCCCTTCAGCCCTTCTTCCCCTTCTATTTACAAAAGCTTTACTTCCATTTTTCCCTTCTATTCTTTGTTTTTCTTCCTCGCCCCTTCTTTCCTTTCCCCCTCCCCCTCCCTTGTTCCTTCTCATTTGACCATTGTCTTCATATTTCACAATATCTGTTACACATTTTGGTCTTTATTTAGACTTGGTTTCTCACATCAGAGAAACCATGCAGTATTTACACACGTTTGTCTGATTTGTGTCACTTAAGAGTAAGGTCTCAAGGTGCACCCATTTAGCTAGAAGTGTTTCAGGCTCACCCTTCTTTACGGCAGAGTAGTACTCCACTGTGTAAAAATGCTCACATCTTTATCCAGGCATTGGTTGCCATCTTTGCCAGTTTTTATGCTTCCTGGTTTTGTGTACTTGCTCTTTAGCCTGTGATGTAGCCCGTGAGTATTATACAACAGTGTGAGCTCACTTCATTTCTTTGGGTTTGGCGTTGGATATCTTGTGTGGTGAGTGGTTTTCTACCTGCATATATAGCTCAGTGATGTGAGCAACAGAGGAGAAGTTTGGAGCTAGATTTTCTTCTGGTCAGGCCTCCACTGTAGCCCTGGCCTATGGGCTATAGGACACAAAGCTTATTCCTATTTCTTCGACAAAAATGTGGTGTCTAGAAAGGTAACATGGATGTGTTAGTGAGGCTTGGGCCCTAATGTGGGGTGAAGCTAGCACCTGTGAAAACACCCAGCATGTGGCTGGCACACAGGCTCTTCGTCCTCTGGTCATGAGAGCCACCCTGATGGCTGTTGTTACTGCTTTGTCATTGAGTCTGGGAGTTCACCTCCCACCACGATGGTTCAGTGGGTCACCCTAGCTGGCCACTTTGGAGATGGAGACAT